TCCCCGGGTCGGACCGGCTCCTCCCGGCGTCCCGGTTCCCACGCAGCCCCGCCCGGCCTCCGCTGCTGCCCGCCTGCTGCCGCCGAGCTGCCGAGGGCGCAGGTGAGTCCCCTTCGCAGGGTGTGGCGGGCCCGGACCTCTCCGACAGGTGTCCGGCCGGCGCCGGGCCGGGTGTTGAGCGCGGGGTGCGAAAAGTTACACCCAAACAACAGAAATGGTGGAAGAGAACAACTGGTGCGCAGATGCCCGGGAGGGGTGGGCACTCCGGTGCCCCCGACCCTGGCGATCCCGCGGCGTCCTGGCCTCCGGGGCCAGCCCCTCCCGTGCCCGGCGTCTCCCCTGGCAGCTCCGGGGTGGCGTCCAAGAAAATGGCCCTCTCCTCCCCGCCGGCAGTGCTCTCAGACGGCGGCTGGACTTCTGAAAAGCTGACAGGCCCAACCTGCTGCTGGAGGCAGGGAGAGTGCTGTCGGTGAAAGCGAGGGGCCAGCGGTTGGAGCCCCCCGTTTCCCTCTCGCTCCGCCTCCCCCGCGATGCATTACTTTTTCACTAACTTCTTGCAACTTGTCTGTCTGCTTCCATCTGCTGCCTGGACCGATAGAGCAACGGTGCTGTTTTCAGGTTGCTTCCTTCGGGCTTCCGTGGGATTAGGAGCCTGTGTAAGGGAGCTGTTGAGATCCTTGTTTCAGACCCAGGCTAGGATGAAGGTGATGTTTCAGTGTGGTACTCAAAGCCAAAACGATTCACTCCCTCTTACAGAAAAATCACCTGGGCACGCTACGTCTATCCTAACTTTTCCCAGAAATCTGCATTAGGGAAGAGAAGCAACGGACATATTTGTAGCTGCGATTACATATGATTTTTAATGATATCATTTTAAGGTTATTTCATTAGCTCTGGTTCTGTATATTAAATTATAAAGACACAAACAGTATTGAGACTGAGGATGAAGATGTTTGTGCATCATGCAAATCTGTCCTTTTTGGTGGGGATTTTATCACGGTATTCTAGAAGTGCACTTGGGGTGCAGGAAGACAATGAAGTCCTGAAAACTAATAGCCCCCCCCCTTTTTTTAGCCATGCCATCAGTCTTACATTTTACTGGGTTGGCAAACCTTTTCTGTCTTAGCTTGAGGAGAGATGTCAATGCTTTTAGTGAAAACAAGAGTTTTCCCACGATCTTCTTCTAGTCTATAATAATAAAAGGGTAATATGCTAATTAGACCGGACATCTTCCAGACGTCCTTCCGGACGTCCTTCCTGACGAAGCCAGGGCCGGAGGGAAGCCCTGACTGAAGTAGTTCAAGTGTTCACTTAGTTGAGAAGCATATTCTTTTCAAAAGGAAATTTGGTGCTCGCTTCGGCAGCACATGTACTAAAATTGGAACGCTACAGAGAAGGTTCGCATGGCCCCCGTGCAAGGATGACACGCAAATTCGTGAAGCGTTCCACATTTTTTTTTAAAAAAAGGAAATGTGTTTTTTAATCCTGGAGGAGGAAGAATTTATCTTTTCTGGTCAGAACTTAAAATGCAAAGCCAAATCCATGTGCTTGACATTTTGCCTTGATGGATTACTTTTGTCACAAGGCTGGTTGTAGCAGAGCAGATGGTCATGCTACTTGGAGTTTTCCACTCATTTGATGTTTCCATGAAGAAACGATTTGCCGGAAGCCAGCCTCAGCTACAGTTGCACTGGGGACGATGCTGAACTTTGCTTGCAGAAGCTGGAGGGTATTGGGGCAGCCCTTCCTGCTGAACCGGTCAGTAGTCTCCTGGGTTAGTAAACTGAGGGACAGCTTCGTCTTGTCATAGTTGATGTTGGGTCAGAGTTAGCAACAACTCTAGTAATAACAGCATGGAAACAGTATCCTTTTGTAATTCTTTTCTTTGCCTTAATAAAACCAAGAGACTTTTTACTTAACCAGCTGAGTTACCTTATAAAATGGTTTTTTTCCATGTGTGCTGGGATTGTCAGGTCTATTGGCTGACTTTGATCATATCTCTTTCTATTAAAATCTAACAGCCCGGCCAGGGTGGCTCGTTGTTTGAGCATTGACCCATGAACCAGGAGGTTGCTGTTTGATTCATGGTCAGACACATGCCCAGATTACAGGCTCAATCCCCAGTAAGGGGATTTATAATGTCAAAAATTATGAAATGGTTAACTTAAGCTATAGCTAAAAAAATCTCATGGCTTGCCTTTAGCAAGGGAACCATCATCTGAGTGGTAATGTCTCTAATGCTGTATGTAATGAATTCCAACATAAAATTTTGTGAGGCCTTTTTGAGCCCGTTCTCTGATTTTAAATCTTTAAACGTTTTCCCACTGGAGCCATATTACTACTGCCAGTGGTTGCTCCAGAACTGGTTTTATTGATAGGTCTGTGCTTGAACAGTTTTCTTAAAATGATACAAAGTGTTAGTTTTACTTTTGTAGGCATTTTGTTGCTTGGAATTAGATCATTTGGGTATGTATTTTTCTCATTTTATTCTTTTAATATCAAGTACACCTGTGGTTCTGATAGCATTTGAGTCCTTTCGCCCAACAATGCATTGACATAGATTGTGTCTATATAAAAATCATTATTTAGCATTAACTATATGCAAAGCATTATTCTGAGCACTTAGCATATATTCTTTCTTTTAATTCTTTTTTTTTAAAATATATTTTATTGATTTTTTACAGAGAGGAAGGGAGAGAGATAGAGAGCTAGAAACATCGATGAGAGAGAAACATCGATCAGCTGCCTCCTGCACATCTCCTACTGGGGATGTGCCTGCAACCCAAGTACATGCCCCTGACCGGAATCGAACCTGGGACCCTTCAGTCCGCAGGCCGACGCTCTATCCACTGAGCCAAACCGGTTTCGGCACTTTTAATTCTTTTAATATCCAAGGACTGTTATTATTCCCACTAGAGGCCCAGTGCATGAAATTCGTGCACTAGTAGGGTCCCTAGTGGCTGCTGGCTGCTGGCCGGGTACTCCAATCTGGGATCGCTCTCACAATCCGGGACTGCTGGCTCCTAACCGCTCGCCTGCCTGCCTGATTGACGCCTGATTGTTCCCTGCCGGCCCAATCGCCCCCAACTGCCCTCCCTGCTGGCCTGGTCTCCCCCAACTGCCCGCCCTTGCTGGCCTGATCTTGCCCCCAACTACCCTCCCCTACAGGCCTGATCTTGCCCCCACTTGCCTTCCCCTACATGCCTGATCTCGCCCCCAACTGCCCTCCCCTTCAGGCCCGGTTGCTCCCTGCTCTCCCCTGCTGGCCTGGTTGCCCACAACTGCCTTCCCCTGCCGGCCATCTTGTGACGGCCATCTTGTGATGATGTGGGGTGGCCATCTTGTGATGATGTTGCGTGATGCCACCTAGGCTTTTATTATATAGGATAGGATTTTATAGTTGAGGAAACCAAAAGGGAAGCAAAGCAAACATAGGGGAGCCAGAGTTTAAATCTAGAAAAGTCTGATTATGGAGCCTGATACTGGTCTGATGGGATAGACTTAAAGACTGTTCAAACTTGTTTACAGTTACTGTAGTAGTTCATCAATCCATCCTTTTAAACTGTATCAAATATGCAGTAATGTATAAGTGAAGAAAATACAATAAGACTATAGAGATTATTGAACTATCTTGGAACAAAAGGCAAATAATTTAACAATCTAAAATAAGTTGAAGAGAAAATAGCTATAAAGGACATTGGGATAACAGAAAATTTGAATATAGACTCTGATTTAGATAATAGTATTATATCAATGTTAAATTTCCTGGTTTTGATCATTGTAGTGTGGGTTAAGTTAGAAAATGGTATTCTTACACACTGAAGTATTGGGGAGTTAAGGGGGCACACATCTTACTCTCAGTGATTCAGGGGGGAAGTATATATATAAAAATAGAGACTGATTTTTAAAATAGGCAAAAATGTAAGTAATGGTAACTCTGGGTAAAGAGTATACAGGAATTCCTTGTACTATTCTTTTTAAAAAATATATTTTTATTGATTTCAGAGAGGAAGGGAGTGAGAGATAGAAACATCAATGATGAGAGAGAATCATTGATCGGTTGCCTGTTGCATGCCCCACACTGGGGATCGAGCCCGCAACCTGGGCCTGTGCCCTTGACCAGAATCAAACCCGGGACCCTTCAGTCTGCAGGCTGACACTCTATCCACTGAGCCAAATCTGCTAGGGCCCTTGTACTATTCTTAAAACTTTTCTGCTTGAAATTATAGTCCCTCCAAAAAAGTTACCCAAAAACACAGGTAGAAAACAGGAAATGAAGGTGTAACATTCTAAGAACTTTTTTTTCTAATCAGGTGAAGCATTGTTTCCTGTGCTCTGATTTTTTTTTAAGGGGTTAAAGGAAAGACTGAAACAAACAAAAAACCTTATCAGAAGTAACTTGACTTTCTCAGATTTCAAAATCTAGCCATTCCGAGCTCCCCGACTCTCCAACCTCCAACAAAAATGGGCACAGTCTTTTCCTCACCTCTTTTTAATAGGTTGGAGGTAGGGGGAGATTCAAAACACGAGTGCCTCTAAGAACTAAGATACAAAGACGGTCCACCTTCAGTGATACTGAAAGTTGAGTTGGGTTGGTATGTCATCTCCCTGCCTAAACACCTTCAGTGGCATGCTGATAGCGACGGGATCCCACGTCAGAACTCTCTGGCCTTGTTTTCACGGGTTCCTGGCTCCTACCTGCCTTCCTAACTCGGTCTCATGGCGTCCCCACCAAGCAGGCACACTCTGGCCACACAAGATTACTTGATGTCTGCGCACACTGACCTTTGTCCCCCTGCCTTTGCCCTTGAATGGCTTTGCTTGGAAGGCGCTCCTGTTCTTTTCCTGCTGAAATTCTGTTCATCCTTTCAGTCTCACCATCACCTCCTGGGAATCCGTCTCTGATCTCACGCAGAATTATGTTTTCCTTTGTCTGTGCTGCCCTGTCTGTGGTGTAAACACAGCGCTATCTGCTTTCATCCAGCAATCCTTATTCAGCGTCTACTGTAAGCTGGAAGCTGTGCCAGGGACTGGGGACTCAAAGGCAGTCATGGTCTGGTAGCTAGGGGTGAGTTGTAAGCAAAGAGTCATAAGGTAAGTACATAACAGAAAAATAAACAAAGAGCTATGAGAGCTAGGGACTCCACCTGACAACGTCGTCTTGAAGGAAAGATTAGTGACAACCACAACTAGGTACCATTTCCCCTCATCAGGTTCCTTTCCAGATTGGAGATTTCCAGCACAGTAATCCAATGAAATGAATACGTGTAAAACAATTGTAGTAGCTGTAGGCCACCCAAGTAGAATTACTCAATAGAAAGCTAAAAATAGAAGCCTCTAGAGCTCAGAGGAAGGAGGGTGAGTCTGGATGTGTAAATCACACAGAGCGGTGTGTAAATATGTCTCTCTTCTCCGCGTCCAGCGCGGCTAGAGCGGGTCCGGGTGCCTTCCCAGGCGCTCTACAGCCGTGTGCTTAGGCAGGAAGACCAGGGGCAGATCGCCGTCTCGGGGGGTCGTGTGCTCTTTCCAAACTCCCCATCCCCTTCATGGCCCAAGATTCGGCCCTTGCTTCCCCTCAACTTTGGTGACATCCGTCCTGGCTTAAGCATCATTGTCCGAAAGGAGAGAGAGTATTGATACACGATGTGTGTGCACCACAGGAGGCGAGAAACAGTAAAGTTGAGAAGCTCTGATGGTGAAGTGGTTAAATGCTTGGGTATGGCTCAGACAACGCAGGCAGAGGAAGGCGAGGGAGAGGATGGGGAGGAAACCTCAGAGAGACAAGTTGTAAAGGGTGAGTGGAGAAGAGGAGCCAGTGATAAAGGCAGCGGGGGAGGAAGGAGAGGCAGGAAGGAGCGGACCCGGAGGGCAGGGGCACAGGTGGTTTCGGAGTGCCTGGGGGGGTGGCAGGGTCTCGTGTGGCAGAGGTGGGCTGAGGCCTGAAGTTGGGTTCCAACTCTTAGGAAACCATTGCTGTCCACGGTGGGGGCGGTCTCAGCCAAAAGGTAGTGACAGAAATCCAGCCACCCTGAATTCAGGAGGGGCTGGAGTTGAGGACGTGAACACAGCAAAGACGTCACTGTTTCCAGGAAGTTGGTAGGAAATCGAAGGACAGACTGAGAGAGGTAGACTGACGGACGGGAAGGTCCACTCTGAAAGGGTTTACTTTAACGCAGGTTGGGTGGGGACGGGAGTCTTGAACAGGTATTTGCCGAGGAAAAGGGACAGATGGAGAAGGAGAAATCGAAAGTATAGGAACCAGCTGAAGGAACACGGGCCTTCAGGAGTGGTCCGTGTTGTTGAGAAGACATTCCTGCTTTGCGGGAGCCCCTTGAGAGGAACCAGGTCTTACGTACCTACTGTCCCTAGGAATCCCTGCACACAGTAGGCATTCAGAAAATGTTTCTTCAAGGGAGTAAAGATTTTACCTTTAAAAATTAGTCTTTCCTGATTGATGTAGTAGAATGACAACAACAAGACCACTGTTTTTATCCTATAATTAACATCCTGTAGTGTGCTCTACATATAAGCCATCTGTTTGCGGCCTTATGTTCTTTGAAATAAGGACAATATATTGAGTGTTATTGAGGTAGTAGTAATCATGATCCCTTAACTTTTCTGTGCTTGAAATTTCTTGAATTCTGTATCAGCATCTTCAGATGTGTTACGGCAGTGGTTCTCAACCTTGGCTGCACATTAGAATCACCTGGGAATCTTTTTAAAATCCTGATTTCTGGGCCTCATCCTCCGGAAATTCTGTTTCTTTGTTACTAATGTTGTGCCCCACCC